GGTAATTGTAATTATCGTTTAATCGAATAACGAGCATAAATTATCCCCCGATGATTGAAAGATACGCATGCCGTTTGTCCATACGTATAGTGACCTTTGATAAAGAACAAATGTCGCAAATCTGTCGTCCCACACAATTCTATATGGCTGTAAAATGTTTCGTAAACGGACTAAACAAGAGCACGCGAAATCAAGTCTGTGACGTTTTCGCAAAAACGGGGGTGCGCTCGCGGGCGGATTAACAAAGATGAGTGGTCAACTCGACATCGTGCCACGTAAACGAGGACGGATGCGAATTAACCGGATTAGGCTATCCATACAGCATGTTGTTTAATAATGAGAGGTCCACGGAGCGAGGTATCGCGGATATCGTGATTATGTCCCGCGCTAGTTCGTATTTGTCTTCGTTTACGTACGTGTACTTACATGTTCTAAACGACGCGACATTCTTTAATAACATGTCATCCCTTGACAAACGTTACATTCTAATTAAGACGACGACACGTATGATGCTTGTCTGCAACACGACTCCAGGCGACCAAATGTTTCCGCGAATTATCTAATACTGTTAGTAAAATGCACCGACGCACACATTATCAAAATTAATTTTCTACAATTTCCACGTTTTCTGCCTTCTAGAAACTGAGTTTAATTAACATTGCGTCAAACAAAGGAGGATTTACTCGTATGATTCAGTCAATTATCCATTTTATTTTTAAACTTCTTTTTTTACTTTTAAATACAGTATAAAATATAGCGATTTAAATAGACATAAGATATAGCAAAATTAGTTGAACAGTTTATTAAGTTTATTCATTAACTAACGTTTTTTTATTTATTGACACGATTGACAGTAAATTTACTGTTAATCTGTCAACATTTAGCTATTTCAGACGGTATCGTTAACAATAGACTAATCTATTCTTTTTATTATAATTATTATTTTTATAGATGTTTCCGATTTTCTTAGATGTAAAAAAAAATGGTGTTTGAGGTATCGCGAATAATAGAATTGATCATTACGTTACAGAGCAACGAGCTTTATCAAACGTGTGGCAATCCATTTGCATAATTTCCGCAATGACGATAGCCGCCAATTAGCTAAAATTAGTCGTATGCGACATTATTATTGTGCTTTCTCAGCCGTAGGCTATTATCATTGAAAGGGCTCTTTGATAAATTTTGTAATAATACATGAATCTATCTTTTGAATCGACCAATATTTTTATATGTTGATACAAATTAGAACATGAAATACAAATGCATACTGTTTTGCAAATATTTATATTAATTTGCGAGGAATTAGATTATTCTAAAATTTTTATAATTTATTAAGTAGACATTTTATTAAATTCTGTTATTTAATCAGATATTTGTCGTGAAATATACGTAATTACGCGATAACTTAATTTTATTTTTTTATATCAATATTAATTTATTGTACTTGTAAGAAATAAGTACCATAATAAGAATATCTTATATTATATTTGTTTAATTTATTTGGATGTACTTAATAGAAATTATTCATTTTCGAACATGTAATATTTTTTACAAATTTAGAATCAAAGTATGAAATAATGTTTTTATGTTCGATTATATAATATATTCTTATGTGTAAAGCGGGGGCGAGATATCTGGAAGCGACATTAGCAATTATCTCACTTATCAGGATATCGTTCGCAGCGAACTATGATTACATTGGAACTTTGCATGATAACAATCGAACGGGGGCTTTCAAATATGCCTCGTATCATCCCGTAGGCTTACGTGAAGATATGTAATGCTATCCATCGATTACAATCAGTTGAAACGTCGAGTGATCAGAATAAACTGTAACATTTTACATTGAGTAATTAACGAAGTAAAAAGAATATAACCACGTTTGGAATGCAATTTTTTCATTCTCTATTACTTGATATTTTTTTACAATTGCACCTCACGAGGGAAAATCAAAAACTGAAAGATATTTTCCATGGATTTGGGAATCAAAAAAATGAGATTTGCAAGATTTACATGCAGATCTTTTACACAGGCTTTATATTTTTTTTTTTTTTAAGAATAGTGCTGGAAAAGCTACAAGCGTGTATCAAGAGTCTGTTGCTGTATTTGATGCAGAGAACTACATTTCTTTTGTTTTCATCGTCGAATTTATTCATTTCGATTCTTTTATATCGATTTAAAATATTTTTAGCAATATACCATCGACACATGTTGAAAATTATTTAATTACCCACTATCGCATATCTATGTCATGTTATTTGCGATTCCGAATGAATTCACAAACGAGTTTGTTTAACAAACGGCGAAAATGCCGACGGCAAATATATATATATTTGCTTTAAATCGATATTCATTTGTCGGGCATGCAAAATTATAAAACATGGATCTTGTTTTGTCTTTAAAACGGTTTAAAGAAGCGAAACCATGTGCGAAATTCAGTGGCACAATTTTTTTGTTGCATTTTTATAAAATATAAATTGTCACATTTATAAAATATAAATTTTTTTTTTGCACGAAAAGAGTTATTGATAAACTTCTCCGTGTTTTTTTAATAACGAGACGTAAAAAAAAAGGGAAAAATATTTCTGATCTCTCTAGGAATGCGCCTCAATTCGAAACGGAGAGAAATATTCGTGCTTGGCATGTTCCATTGTAAGATTCGGATAAGTTTGCAAGAGAAGAAGAATTAATGCGTACCGTTCGCGAAATGCAACCTATTTATGCAGCGGATATATAAACGAGCATCGGAGCATAATGCGAGAACGTGCGCGAGATTTATGCCAGAGTTAAGTGGGCTATTTGGAAATGAGGGAAATTATTCCCGTATTCGAAAAGCGCTCGTGCCGCTTTACGACGTGTGCGCTACGTGATCGGTGCGCTCAACTTCGTTCAATGTCGTCGAGGACCGATAATAAGTCGCGGACTCAAACGACGGAGAGGTATATTAAAATAAATAAGCGGTAACTTGAACGCGAATTCTTACTCGCCGAGAAAAACAATTTTTATCGTGTCGCATCGTACCCTTTTATTTTTTAAGTTTCAGCTTTCCTTTCCAAGAATTATCAATGCAAAAAGTCTGAGGTTTCTTCGCGGAAAAGATTGAACATAAACGCATAAATGATACTTCAGTAATATTTTAATGTAAATGTTAATTTTACTTTTTCTTTTTTTAAAAGTAAAAAAGTATGATGGCATTTTGGCATTTATATTTTATAATAGAAGAATTTTGTTTGCTCAGAAAAAATTACGAAAATTAGCTCCACTTTGATGTTCAGGTTTTATTTTTTTTAATTTGTGATAGCAATGAATTTTTATATATATTAGAATTTTTTAACACGGAGAGAGAAGAATGTAAATATGACTTAAGTTTATTTTTATATTTGAAAACGTATTTACATTGTGATAAGTCTGCGTTACAAAAGAGACCCGGTGTGTGCCGCGCGTAATTATTGATTATATCGCCGTTGTGCGGAGCTGAGTCGAAATGAAATAGTTTTCCCGACAAACTTTACGCAACGATCAAGAGGTTCGTGGACTCTATTACGTAAAGGCCAGATAAACGCCCACATTTAGCGCAAAATGCAGCTGAACGTGATATCGTTGAATATGATATCGCGCAAATATTGCAGACCGATTACATTAGATCGAACGAAATTCAAAATCAGATTGCTTTGGTTAAAATGCGGAGCGCAAATGCGAAGACTACCTTACGGAATTCACTTTAACAACTTTGATTTCGACCTTTCCCCTTTTGTACGTTCGACTATGGGAAATCGTGCGAAGTTCCAGGAAGCGTGGGCCCTTTGCCGCAACGAGAATGTGTCTCTCTGGGCACAAGAATAATACATAACGCCGCAAATTGGCCGACTTGAATGGCGGTGTTTCGCCGCCGTTTCGCATCGTTTTCGCCACGTCGGCAAATAAATAGCTGCACAAATATCGATTTTGCACGGAATCGCGATCGCAGAGAGCACATCCCGCCGTCCGATCGTGATACCAAACGAAATGACCTTTTGCGCGGGATATCATTAGGACGCGCGCTATCTAT